CAGAATTAAACACATCTACCAAACAATTGACAAACATTAGGCACCGAAAAACGTTCCGACCCCACATTCGTAGGTAAAAACACCCTAATCCACGTCAGCTGCTTCTGACTGGTCGTAACACACCCCCGCAAGCCATCCACCCTTATTTACCCTACGCAAAGACCTCTGCTAACCTTCAAACTGTATTTACCGAGGTATTATTTTATACTGGTCCTATCGACCGACGTCCATAATAATATGACCTACAAAACACATCACCGTCCGCGGGGTTGAATGTCTAATTATATTGGTCTATGTCAACAGGGGTGCCTGTAGACTGTCAAATACATAATGAGTGTTTTTTTTTTATTATTTTTACAAATTATCGGTGGAAGTTTAAAAGATCGATAGGCGTTTAATGGCTTTCGGAGTATTTTGATTTAAGTGTTCAAAAAATATATATATATCAGAGCATCGATACTATAATTAAAAACAGTTACGACTCAAAATAATTAATACCAAAGTCGGGTTTCGCAATAAAATGAGAGGTATAACCGTGCAAAATTATATTGTTAATCTGTTTTAATACAATCCGCTGGTTATACACTGTACATTCGTGAAGTCGTATTATACTTAGCAGTTAAGAAATCTGGAGACATTACGTGTCGGCCGGAATGCGTCCGAGACTTGGTAACGATGTATACAGAATGATCACATATAAAGTAAACAAAAATAATAAATAATTTATTTATAATTAATTAATATATTGATATGTTTGTGCGTCGTTAAAGTTACTACACTTGTTAAATTATACGACTAACTATAAAAGATAAACACAAGCGAACGCAAGTAACTCCGAGATTGTTAAAATGTCGTAAAAATAATGCGAGCCGGTCGTGTGTGTTACAACAGCCACAGGGAATGTCGCCACGGAATTCATATCAATCAATAAGAACGATAGCTCTATCAGACGAAGCAAGAAACAACAATAGTGAATAAAAATTACAATCACCCTATACAAAACCTAGCATATTTATGTCATTATTAGCCGGTGCGAATTAATACTCATTCTGAGCTCATTTTTAACACGAGTATTCTGAAACGGGCAGGAAAAAAACAACATGGCGGCTCCACTCCAGATTTTTTGCAGACAAGTCTGGACCGCGGCGAGATTTTTGCCAAAAATGGACTTAATAACGCGTATGACACATAGCTAGGGAAATATATTCCGTCCAATCAAATTCTTATTTTTTTTTCGCATGCACTTTATGGTCTGCGCGGATTTATTAATCTGTGCGAAGTCTGTCGAGTCGAATGCTGTTAGTTATACAAAAAACTGGAAGCGGTCCCGCGTGTCAGAGCTAATTGAATGTCTCACGCCATCAGTACCGTCGGTGGAGCAAGCAGCAAGCCTACACCCGGCCTGTCACTAGATCAGACTCAATCAGACCCACTCACACTCCAGTCCTAATAATAAACAACTCCTATCATTGACCCACAGCATGTTAATCATCACTACTTTTAACGCAGCCTCTCTGTAAATAATATTCCTAAATCACCTCTAACCTTTGACAGTCCGCTGTGATGACGTCAGAAGCCCATTCCTATATCTCGTATTGCCATCTCTTGTAACCTAGTACTCAGAAATTTCTAGGCCGACTGGTATGCGACATGAATCGTACATAAAACAACTGTATAAGTTAACATTTGTATTAGATAAATTTATAACCATTACACGTATCGCAATAAGCGCGGCTTTAGAATATGTATATGAGGTCCAGATGACATTTGACTTAAAGGACGACCAGCCATCTCGAGGCGGCCTTATCTTACGAAATCATTTAGAGTTAAGAAAATGTGCAAGGAATTCGGAATGGCAAATGCAATGATTGGGGATGATAAAACGGAATCACCGATGATGGGAAAAAAAATATGCGTGCGAGCGAGACGAAAAAAAAGTATCGTATAGCGGTTCCACTCTGGCGCGCTTCGCTAATGATCGAGCTGGTTCGATAAATACAGCTTGGAAATTTTATTTCATCGCCACAGCTCGAACTGAGCTGAAAGTTAAGTCAAATATTTGAATCACATCGCTGGAGTGCGCATGCGCAGCTGCGTTTGACCGGGCCGCCATTATTTATTCTATATTCGCGCCAAAACATTCAATTCGATGTCGACGACAAAGAGCTTAAATTGCGCGTCCAAATCCCTTAACAATATACAATTGTACAACGAACAGACAGATGTAAACATTGTTGATATAGAGTCAAGGTTCTATCAGCCATTATAACGGTGTTTAGTAAAAATGAATTAATAACAACTCAATGCATTCCCAGTACAGATTCAGTTTATACAACGCCATATCCTTTGGAAACTGATACAAATGTAATTAAAACATTACCGTCCACTATCCAAGCCCAACCTGTTTCTATATAAAGATTTCTACAAATAGATCATACAGCGTACAAGTGGCGTGCTCAATTATAAGTTTTTTTCTAACATTTAATTACTTACTTCATTATAATACTGCGAAAGATTACAATGTTTATTATTATTTTTTTCTAATAATTGCGTATCGGATTCCTAACTGTCGGTGATTTTTAATTAAAATTCTTATATTTAACATACCTATATGTTAATATAATTTTATTATACAACTTAATTAGCGCGTCAGTGACAAATTTTGATAGTGTAGGTACTGTTAATTTATATTATTGAAATTCATATATTCATGTTGTAAATAGTTCGTTGCATACATTCACACCTCGCGTTCCTGACACGAGATACATATCATCAAAAAAAAAATTAAGCTGATGTGAAAACCGTTAAGAGTTTGAAAAAAATAATATATTGGAGCCAAAAGTAAGGCTTTATAGATATTTTAAAACTAAAATAATATCAAATTAAGCCATAGACATCAATATATAGATAAAAAGTTATTTTATTTCTGGTTCAACACATCAGCTGTTCACTCCAACTCGATTAACTTTGAACTTATATGAAGTGTTGCAAAGAAATTACAACTATAGTTAGAAAAAACTTAGCTCTCAATTAAAACGATTCTTGATACAATCTTACGCATTTAATTAGAGACATTTTATCATTGTAACAATCGAAATTCTTGCAATTGTTCTTCATTAAAACTTTTTTTTATCGACATTAATGACATAAATCCTTACAAATGCAAACTGTTTTGACGTTTATGACATATATAATTTATATATTTTGCATATCATGATTTATGACCAGTATTTAATTAAGCTTTACTAGGATTGTGTGGTCGTGGCTACCGTGGCTATTCTGCCACAGCCACGCTGCCACGTTGACAGAATACGTCGTACCACAAAAGCGAAGAGTATATATCAATCAGTCCACAATCGTACCGCGAGCCACTTAAATAAATTTATAACATATTAAGTACTTTGAAAATAAACTACAGTTTATGATTTATTCGGTGCGGCGATGAATTACCGATGTGCTTATTACTACTAGAGTGGGAGGTCCGGGATATTTTATCTGTTTTTTGTGGCGATTTCACGTGCTGCTGTCGATAAAGGTTTTATTGGAGTAATTAAAATGCAGCGATTAGCGTTTGTCAATACAAGGATGGATGATAAATGTGGCAGATTATGGCTGTTATTGAGCTATCACGACTACTTACTACCCGTGTTTGAAAGGATTTTATATATAAGAAATTATTACTGGGTAATCAAAGTCTCGTAATGTTAACAAACTTGATATATTATTATAAGAATGTATATAGTTTATATAGATAAAGAGTATCCCAGACGATATAAAGACAAAACATTATAAAAAGCGTGTCAAGATAAGCTGGTCAGAGGCCAGCCTTAGTCAATACAATGTAAATAAACAAACGCTGGTCAGTTCCCTGACACTGACACGTTATCAGCCAGCTATCAAAGACCCCTGAGTTCAAGCTACACTATAAATAAACTCAAAATAAATCATTAAATGACATTTATGTATTAAAAAGTGAAATTTAACAACAAACATGACTTCCGGATTCGTAATTGTTTTGTGACGTTTTAATGTCAGTGTTGTTTTTTTTTTAAATTGCCTCTCGCCGCAACATGTCAACAGTTATTGTTACACAGCCGACACAAAGATGTTGCGGTATTATAGAATAAGAAAATTATACGGCTAGTGATTGACGGTACACTACGCTGATTACCGATACAACAATGCCGAATTACGAACCAAATTACTCAATTTAATGTATTTTTTTATATATAATAGGTGTTATCCGACATGCTGATTCGCATTGTTGTGTTATCACCGAAACCGCATAATGAAATATCTGATAAATACACCGCTCCGTTAAATATTATGAATATATTTAATAAGCAATTACAACGTAAAATGAAGTAGGCTTTTTGTTACGGATGTTTGTTTCAGTTTTTATTGATGCTGTACGGATATATATATTTAATCTGTGACGCCGGCCGCAGCTTAACCAGCTAATAAAAATGAAACGTAACAAATCGATTCCGAACAAGAAGTAATATCGATCCTATTACATACAATCGATATTGGAGGCAGAGCAAATGGCCGCTCGGTACCCCGTAAACAATCAATAATGCGATGCCTACACAAACCAATAACAGATTTTCCATTGCTAATTACGCTTTATAGTTATTAAAAGCTGAAGAAATTACCGTCGCTGATTTACGGGCAGCCATTTTGTGCGACATTTTAATATCCGAATGCGTTAGCGGGTTTTTTTTCTCCATTTTTTAATTCTGATGGGTAATGGAGGCAGGTGCGTCGCCACAAAGTTATTCAGCCCTGCATTCTCTCTTTCGCGAGTAATTTTCGTATAGCGCTTCTAAATGGGTTTTGTGTATGAATCGAATTGGAGAGGATATTTTTTATGTTGTTTTCGCACGGTTCGTACGGGATCCGATTTTACAGAATTTAATGATGTTTTGTGAATGAAATCGGTAACTAAATTCAGTCCTTGTCTATGGAATATTTTTTATCTAGGTTGGTTGGTTGCTTACCTGTTTACTGAAGACAGCTATGTCTTCGTTGAAGGATTCCGATGAGCAGACATCTCCTCCCGCCACGCCGGGGTCGCGAGGCGTGCAAGTCGCCAACTCACACTTCTCAAAGATCAGCGCCAGTAGGGGGAAAAGGGGGTGGCTGGGGAGAACAAGAATCATGAACAACCGACACATTACATACAATAAACAACAAGCGGTACTAAACTAATATTAAAACAGATACTATTCATTACTAATATAATCTTCTGCTATATAAAGTTTATTTAAGTATCTATAGATAAAATATAAAAATTTAAGACGCAATACTTTATACAGATTATAAAACAAAGATGGCATTCAATCATCAAGCAAAAGATAAGCTGGTCCAAACGTGATGATGATACTTTACTCGGGTTATAAATAAAATACATTTTACCTACAATTCTATACTATTCATTACTAGTATTGTATAATGATAATTTAATTTCCTTTTCGTGTTCTAAGACTGAAGTAGAGAATACAATACAAGAGATTTTTATCTAGATTGAGAGCACGTGATGATGCTATCTGGTGTACAGGGTGTGGTGTCACTGCGAGCGATTTATAATATATATAATACATATAATATTAATTATATTAAATCTCCTTCACAGTTTTTATATATCCGAGAAAAATTAAGTTTATAAACTATAAATATACTTAGTGTGTAATTATTTCATATCACGCGATTAAGTCTTAATTATGTGCAACATGTTCTTGCAATAAATTATATAAATACCACATAGAATTAGTATTGAATAAAAAAAAAAGATAAAATGAAAACTCATTAAGCGTTGCAATTATTGTGGAATGTTAAGTCTGTGTGTAAAAAGTTTGAGAACCAATTGAGTTAGCAGTATAATAGCAATACTTTCTTAGTGTTGCAGAGATCGTATGCATCTATGAAGCCAGACGTTAACCTTTACAAGTGTGTGGTCCCTTTGATAGCTGTTATTACGAGGTATATAATAAAAATATGATTGCTTTATTAAATATTATACTTATATACATATTTATAGTGTTATATTTAAATTTATACAACGATACGACATTAATTCACGATATTCTTAAACTAGCGAAAATTTTTATTATAATTTTATGCATAATATATCTTATATAATTATATATTATAATGCCATTGACTCTACTAAATTTAAGTATGATTTCATTGTAATTTTCTTGTATTATTCTCCGCTCCGCTCCTCCATTTCCCCGCTATCAGACGGACGCCATAAAATGAAAGTTGTTGACAAGTTTTGATCTGATATCCATAATCGTGATGCTTCTGAACACCTTACAGTCATTTGAACAGATAAAACTCATAAACTAAACAGTTCACTGACAGACATACAGAAGGTTAACTTTAGAGATTTGATCTTTTAAAATTATATCAAATGAAGCTGTTCCTAAATAAAATAATCTACATATATACACATATAAAATTATTTTCTTTTTAGACTATCAGCGCCCACTACTGAGCAAGGCCTCTTTCTCTCATGGAGAAGGTTTGAGCATTAATCACCACACTTGCTTAAGACGGGTTGGTGATTTCAAACTTATAATTGTGAAATTATAAGTCCAGGTTTCCTCACGATGTTTTCCTTCACCGTATGTCAGTGGTGTCTAAATACTCTTAGAAAGTACACATGACTCAGAAAAATCACATTGGTACTTGCCAGGACTGATATAAAATCCTAATACTTTGATAAAATTGATCTTATGTTTTGAATTATTTTGTAACACACAAATTTCCTTATCGTGGCTCAAGATTGAGTTCATATTAGTACCTAGTTCTATAGAAACGGCGTAACACCTTGACACACACGCAGGGAAAATAAAAATTGCATTAACTAGCCACGTTGTCACGATTTATCTCAAGATAGCATGGCTACCGTACATTATACACTAATCCTCGATAAAGATTAGAGATTGTGACGCTAAAAATATAATAAATATTATTATAAGAAGGAAACGATAAAGTAGAACGGATTATATAATATATATTATACATTATATATATATTAAACTATAACTTTTATACATTTTCTTTAACATCATAAAGTATATTAAAATTACAAGAACTAATACAAGATTAATCTACAATAATATCTACATACAGAACTAAAATAAGAAAAAACGTAATATTAGTTTATTTTACTTGTAAAATAAATAAGACAAGATTTAAAAATAAGTAAATAAAACAATTATAGGTATATAATTTTGTATCTCACAAACAAACAAACAAAAATGATATAGTATAGTATTATATTATAAGTTCATGATTACTATAATCTTATTTTATTTTAATATAAAAATATCTTTGTAAGTATTTAGTATCGGTTGACCGACTTACATTAAAAGGTCATTGGTAAACATTTATTTATTTAGAATAATTACAATAAACATCGCAAAGGGAACACAAAAACAGACAGACACCGCCGGCAACTGTTTATATGAAGACGTTTGCCAAATATTTAAAGCTGATAATCACTAAAACAAGCTTATTGAGAAAATAATCTTGGAATTTAAGAAAGAAGTCACTTCTTGGAAATTTCTTCTTATATCTAAATACACACTATCTTTCTTTATACCTGGATTCACTTACTATAGTCTATGTTATCTATGAAGCAGCTACATCTATAATATGAAAACACACGTTACCCCCAACTCACCCATAAATGGCGTCCTTGTCTCGCTTGTGCACGAGTGGCTCGCCGGGCAGCGCGTGCGCAGGCGCAGCGGGCGGAGGGTAGTGCACCGGCGGGATGTGGGGGTGCGACAGACGGTGCTCGTGGTACATGGCGCCGCCTTCCATGTAGCCCCCGCCGTGAAGGCTCTCGTCGTACTGAAACATTACGTAGTTGGATTGGAAGAACACCACTTAAAGCTGGTGCAATTGTATAAGCTTAGAACAAATCTTGGTTAAGATGTTTGCAAAACTTGACTTAAATCTCCTGTACTGGGATCAGAATGAGTTAAATGGGACCTAAGGTTGTAATTCTTGCAAAAAAATAACTGAAATGTGACCTTTTAGTGTCGTAGTTTCTTTAGATTTACCCTTGGATGCTATACTTCCAAGTATTACCTTGAAAATTCATAGTATGATAGGGTATTATGACGTCTGAGGAATCCTGGGACAGTTTAATCCTAAGATACTGAATTTAGGAAAATATTAACATATAAATACAATCATAATGATAGTATGAATGTATCAAAAGTAAATCTGAATAACATAGAAATTCTCTGATTATATTGGGATTCTGAAAGTAAGCATTAATGACGAGAAAATAATTAAAATTCAGAATACTTAGAAATAGAAAGAGAACTATTTAAAACATTCATAATATTTCAAGCATTGGCAGCAATATCATCAGTTGATTAAATAGTACATAAAGATGGTCAATGGTCAGACCTATTAAATAATTTCTGACAAGATGAAAGGTTGGGTATCTAGGCTTTTAAAGTCAGGTTAATCTGAGTAAAATTTAAAGGTTTCTAGAGCTGGCTATAAAAGGAATTGGAATCTCAAAAGATTACACAACTGCAACAGAATCAGTACTAAAGTAATTAAAAATATAACAATATATAATAAATACTTATTTTAATTTGAATATCATAATAATAAAATATCTGTACTACAAACAGATATTGAAAATGTTTTTAAACTTCTTAATATATTGTTTATTTATCAATAACTTCACATGTGGGTTTGATATAACAATCCATAGCATTGTATACATTAAAACATCCAGAATATTCGATATTTACTTACATTTAAATGTATTAAAAGTAAAAAACTTTATATAAACGCCGACTCATCTGCCTGCCATCTTTGAGCATCAATTAAGAAACTCAAAATATATGCTTTTATTTTCATCCTTTCAAATTATTATAAATGTAATTAAATGAATTAAAATCATACATATATATAGATATTATGTTTCAAATATAATATACGTATAAATTAGACGCGAAAGTAATAATTTCTTATAAAGAAATATAAAAATATATACAGATATAATGTTACTTATACTCTGTAGACTCCTACCCGTCCCTAACCATCAAAAATAATGACGAAGCACTTTATAATATTGACAGACACACCTGTTATATTCAATATATATATACAGTATATTATATATTAAATATTTTTTATATAAATTCTAATATTAACTTTATTATAGAATAAATAATGATTAATTACTCAATGTAATGGCAACACTGTTTGTTCATTTTATGTTCAGATTTGCGCTTTATCGTTGCCTATTTTATTGCCATATTTATTACCTAGTATACTTTGATAAGGGTTGTATGCTACTTAAAGCTAGTATAATATATATTTTTTATATAATACGTGTGTAACAGTCTTTATAATTCAAAAACTAATGTCATTATGTTTAATAGTTGGTTGCATCTGCCCCCCCGTAGGTTAATACCTAGGTTACCTGGGTATTACACAAATTGTAGCTTTACTGACAACTCTATTACAGTTTCATTATGAATTCACGTTCCTGGAATTATTTAATATTATATAACTATTAATTCAATATAAATTTTTATTTCCAAATATTTTTTTAATAAAGTTAAGATGGCGACGGCAAACACGAGTGATAATATGAATTGAATCTATTTTTTTTGTAATTATCTATATGTATATAGCTTGTTATTTGTATATAAATGATTTATGCTATATGTAGTTATAACGAGCAGTGCCTGGAGTTATTATTAGTATATCTGATATTGGCTGTAACTGACATGACACACTTTGACTTACGTCATTAATTTGTAGGCATTTGACACTACATGTGGAGCAAGATTGAACCACGGGCGGCAGAGACAAGCGAAAATAAATCTTATACCATAGACAATAGAGCGATGTTAATATTTATTTTCGGATAAAAATATTTTCCCATAAATTTTAGGTCATTGCCAGTTCACATACCGTCACGTATGAAGGGATAGGGATAATTAGTATTCTATAATCATATCTTACTATATGTATATATATTATAATAATTGAATTTTAAAAGCACATCAAAAACATCTAGACATATCTAGAATGTTAATATTTATACCTAAAAGTTTTGTTAAGTAGAACGAGGCGCTAAGCTGTCCCTTTAATGTAAAGCTAGCCATTAAATATTTCGAAAATATGTAATGACTACCTTCTGACGTCTTGAGAGCCGGTTTCAAAATTAAATGATACGTTTTAAAAATGGAATCGCTCCGTCCCGCCTTTTTTCCTTCGAGATAACCTTTAGTCCATTTGGTTTGCCATAACGAAAAAAATACATATATATATATTGTAAGTTTTAATTTTTTTTAATGACATTCCTGTGGCTTTTTCTCTCTGGGAATCTTTGCTGAGTAATATGTTCGTTTCGATCCGCTGTGTTTTTGCGATTGGTGAGTTTCTTGTGTTCGGTTTTCTTTATCATATTATTAAATTTTGACGGCTGGTTACGCGTGTCGTGGGTAGGCCACATAAGTCACGCCGGCCTGATGAGCCGGGACCCCGTCGCGATAATTAAAGTCCATGGATTAATTGCTACAGTTATTTAAATTTCGCTCGGTGTACGCCCATGCGTTGGCTTTTTTATGTTCGGTCTCAAGATTAGCGTAGGTCGATTCCGAGAAGTTGGAATTTGGTTTTGCAATTAAAAACGACTGAGCTTGAGGTCGATTTGTAACAAATATATTGTTTTGTTTGGAAAAAAATATATATTAGAAAAAGGGCGAGTGATGTATTCGAAAGCAGACTGTTGGGGAAGACAGGAACGTCACTTGTTCCAGACACAGGGTGGGTCATGACGAACGCCACCCTTAAGACAACTGTCTCTTTCTAACACACGAGCCAGCCATATCGCTGTCTTCCTCTGTGTCATCTGGCGGAGTATTCACACGAGGCTACCAGAAGCTAGTTACTTGTATAATGTATCCCTACCGTTCACAATACCTAATGTAAACTGTACTCAATGTGCTCGATATTCATTACCTAGTTCGAGTCTTATTAAATTCCTAGTCCAGTGTTAAAAGACATAAATCAATAATAATCAACTTGTTATACTCATCAGACATTCGAATCCAAATTTACAGCTCATAGGAGGTCGTAAAAGTTTGATATTTTTTGTCCAAAACCGACCTATCCATACGTTACGTTACCGTCGGTAGAGGTATCCTTGTATCACCCTAATACCAGCTATGCAATACCAGCAATAAATTCCTCCGCTCATACAAAACAACGCATCCTCAGTTCGTCCATGTCATAAATACTAATAAAACGTCCTCGTTACTGGGACACATCGAAAATCGAGCACACGACTTCTTAACGACACCTATTAGGGATCTTGCGTCTGGTTGATTTAATTGAAAAATTGTATCCAGCGTGCAGGAGTCGTATCCGAGTACCGCGGCGGATGCGGGCCCAGACGTCCATTATTCCATTTGCTCATCCGCATTGGGGTCCCTGAACCAACACGTGTCGATAAACCAATCGCATGCAGCATCTGACGCGTTACTGACATCACCAGCCCTGATAGATGGAGACCATGGATATACTTAGAAGCAGTTCGTGGTCATATCAGAACTCCAAGATTTCTTCCCAATAACGAAGTTTAAACCACCAAAAACCAATTTATATTTTAAATTAATTCCAATCGACCATTAACCTCAGTTATATGTTTTACAAATTGATAGTGTACACTAATTTATAACGTTTTCTGCGCAAGGAGTTTTATCTGTATTGTAAACAGCGAGGTCAATAGCTGGCATATGAACCAGCGTCAGATACAAGCTGTCCTTATCGTCTCCTGCCCTCCAAGGGACAGCTTGAGTTAGTCAGATTTTACGTAAATATAACGTCGTTAAGATAACGATTTCCTTTAAGAGACACACAATGTTTTTGCTTTTATATAAATAGTGTTTCGCACTCAAAGGATTCTCAATTTATGTATACGCAAGATAAGTAGGCGTCGGCTGTGATTTCGTCTAATTTCGGATATTAAGCTGGTCGTGGTCTGTTGCCAGAAAGAAATCTCATCATAAATAACGTCGACATGAGCCGCCCACGTCTTACAGGCCAAATGAACCTTCGTTACGTCCATTGTAAGAGTGAATACAAGATTAGCGCTGCACTCCTGATTCAATATTTAAGACGAAAGTCCAATCTTATTCCCGCATATAATTTCTCACGATCTATTCTAGTATAATTTTAATAAATCACATAAACATTCAAAAAGTCGAACAATAAATACATAGCACTTAATACTGAAAGCTTTATCGGATTTTATTTATATTATGGATTAACTGAGTCGACTACCGACGGCATACGGTCTTGGCTATAATTTGGTCAACGCCCTCAATAGACGACAAACTGAGAAACGGTACGCTAAGGGAATCAAACGCAATTAAAATGAAATACAAAAAATATTCTTTTATATAGAGAAAAAATTCAAATTTAGAACATCGCGATATTTTTTTTTATAAAATCGTATAACTACATCTATGTTCGACTATATACAGCCGATGTCGAAGCGCTGTCGTTGCAACCCTTCCCAGTATTCGCTGATTCATCCAGCTACAATTAATATTGTTTAAGACAAATCCGACCGCGTATTACAAGTATTAGATACTAGATAAACAGGACGTCATTTTCGCTTCGGAATCTTTATATTGAGTTTTCTTTTTAATTAATCTTATATATATTACAAAAACACAGATAGTCTATCAGTTATTCAACAGGAGCGTCTTTAAAAAGGATGTTTAAACAGTCGGTTACACAATAAACCCTCAAATTAGCGAGCTCGAGAATTAGCGTTGAATCTAAAGTGCGCAATTAGACGTCCACAGAGATCCAATACGAAAATGAACAGCGGTATTCAAATTGAAAAAGGTACGCGCCTTGAATAAAACAATGAACGAAAACGCTGGAAACGATTCCTACATAACTACAAGGAGTATTTATATTAGGAATAGTTCAATATGCGTTTTGATAAAAAAAGTACTGGCGATTTAAAAAAATAATAATTTGAAAATGGAACAGAACTTGGAAGATATGGAATTTAATGGAAACATATTTTTAATTCTAACAACATTCAGGTCGAAATTCAAAAATGGAATTGAAGATGTACATTTAAATAACAAATTAGTGGGCGCGTTCGTAACTCCGGTCATCGGTCTGATTTTTACGTTCAGATTATGTTAAAAGTTTTTGCGTTTAAAAAAAAATTATACGTTGTTTGTTTTACAATGTTTATATAATTTTAATTATCTATTATAAGACCGAAATATTAGTGTTTTAAGTGAATATAATTTTAAATGTGCGTCGTTAAAATATATATAATAAATAAGCAATTGGTAAATCGATAATGCACAATGAAGCTCGTACCGCCGCGTGGTGTAATGTTAAGGAGTTAAGCTATTTTATAACATCGTAATGAAGGAGCCGTAAATCATTTACAACGTTTATAGTTTGATAACGAAAATAACCATTTCACAAAAGCTTTGCAGGACAAATCGTAAAAATAACAGAATAATATTCTTAAGCGGTCGTAAAAATTAGCTTTTTTTCTCTCTCTCTCTCTCTAAAACATTTATATTACGGCTCAATAAATTATCTGTATTGGCACGCCGTTAAACGTCTAATTATACAACTGTAAGAACGAAAGCGATCTTAAAAAATTAAGTTCAGATAAAAACACACGGAACGTCGCTGCTATTAAAATGATTACGAAAATCATTGATACAAGTATAGTATTAATCCAACACCCACAAGGAAAAACCGGAGTATGCATGCCGGAAAGACGGCGACCATTTTCTAACGCGGCATAATCCGGCTTTGAAAAATAGCTATTTCTAATCACAGCATCTATAATAGTAACGGACCGGGCGCGTCGCGTCTCCAACACATATCTGTGCATCAAACCTTAAATTATCCGGTCACCAAGAAAGCTATGACCATTTTGGAATTATTTATCTCAAGACATGGAATCGTTCCAAGTTTAAAATGCAACAGAACTCCTCTGGCTAAGTTCTAATTATGTTTTTTTTTTTGCTAAGATTCAAACCAGCCAGTAATTTAATTGACAACTATTATTTTTTTTTTTATTTCAGCCAGTCTTATTTTTTATTTTTTTTTTATAGTTTAATTGTATTCGGACAGTATTATTTTTATTATTTACTATTTATTTTCTCTTCGGTTCACTAACACCGTGACAAAGTTAATTCAACGTTAGCTTATCAGTTTGTTCGTACATGTAACATTTTTTTAATCATTAACGTTTTTATCGACGCACTACAAGTGAAGTGTGGAAGTACTTAATTATTTTACTATCACTTTTAAACGTTGCACTTCCTACCGGCTGTAAACCTATAGACCTTCGCCGTTTCCATACGGAGTTACCATTTGAAATATTGTGAATTTATTTCTTATATGTCAAGTGAAATTATGAGATTTTCTAAATAAATTTATCATATAACTATTATAAGATCAGAATCGATTTTATTTACTAAAGTCACGATTTTAATCATCAATGTCTATTACTTTTTAATAATCATAACGTGTTTGTGGCAATGGTACGGTGTGGCAATTATTCAGCCAAAATAAATTTATTTTATTAAAATTCTACACATAACAATATTTTAACTCGAAACGGAAACAATTATAAAAAGTACAGAATATAAAATAGTTTTGTGTGTATATTTAAATATATTTGTAATTCTATTTAATACGTATAATGAAAATGTATAAATTGTTAAGTTTATATTTAAATAACCTCTATTTTGATAATAACAAAGCAATTGCTATTTTTAGCTGTTAATCTAATTTAATTGTTAAATATATTCACACGGAATATTTTAAAAATTTAACACAACATATAAAAATTTAAGACGCCATGTTTTTTTTGTGAACTTAAAAATTTATTCTATAGAAATAATTATGCTTATTTTGTGTTTTATTCCTAATATTATATAGTTTTAGTACGATTTGTTTTGATGGTGGCGTACTATCAGTTGTGAGTTATCTTCGGGCCGCGCGTTAATCTTATCAGAAATGAATTTACGATCCGATACGGCGCTAATATTATTTTGTAATTTCGGCTGTATTAGATTACTGTCCGGCTTAATGAAAACAATATTACATATAAGCGTCATCTTGATAATAATTTTACGGTTAAATTATTTATAAACTCTACAATAACTATGAAATGTATTGTAGAGAAATATTATGTATTGTAGTAAATGTATTGTAGAGAATTATTAAGTTGAATATGTATTTTTGTTACCACTCTGTTTTTAATAATTAATTTACTTTATAAAATGAGTTCTTTAATTTTTAGGTACCTATCTACTATTTAAAATAATTAGTTTATTTTAATATATAATTTACATTCATACATTTAAGTTGTTTTAAATTAATTCCAAATTATTGTAATTCGTTCGATAAAATGATCATTGCATGTATGAATTTTAATTTAGATTTATCATACGTACCTATTAATGAAAAATAAATTTCATTGAAAATTTAACAATACAAACGCACTTAGAATACAAAATAACAATAAAAATACGACGGTAATTAATGTGATAATGTAACGAATTTCTCGTGTAATACATTGTGTTTGTATATTTAATGAATTTATTAGAATTTTTAACTAACCGAGTGTTTAAGGCGACGGCTCATTATTAATATGCATGTATCTCATCTTTGTAACTTTTACAATCTCACAACAACTTTTATAAACTATTACATGATATTTGTTCTAAAACATTTTTTTGTAATATTATTTTTATCTGAAACTAAATCTCATATCTTGATTCAACGCTGCTATTACCGAGCAGATAAAAATATATGAAAATCAAAACTATAGATATAATATGTAGACGATATATTAATTATGATTAAATTAGTTTTTGTATTGTAGAGTATTTTAATTAATTATTTTTAGTATTTTTAATTATTTTTATAATGTATGTGTAAACGCTCGCCGTCGGCGCAGTGTATTCTGTATCACGTATTATTAAACAGAATGAATGTTATCACTATTAATATTATCTTTTTGCTACTTTATTTTATAATCTGTTTATCGATGTTAAAGTTTTTTCGGAGATTACACGACATTACATGACGAGCAAATAATACGTGTGTAACACTAACCCGAACTGTTATTTGATTACTCTATAATGTATATTTATTTTTTATAAATCATTTTATTTATATATATGTATATCATAAGTATAATATTTCATTGGAGACGTGTAAGCTATAAAAATTGTTAAACATAAAGCAAGGATTAATCCCGGAACAGTACCTGGCTTAACAAAAACAATACAACCCTAAATCTTATAGAAACTTGTCCCCGTATATACCGTTAGGGTATTTGTGGCGCGAACCGAAAACTTTTTTTTTCTTTTCATTGTCAATTGAATTTTATTGTTGGTTTCCGAGATAGGCCCTTTTGTGCTCAACCGTGCGTTTAAAGCCGCTTGTTACTTGCTCGGTTTTAGTCCCTATCCCCATAAGAGCAACCATCTACAATGGACTCCCCGCTGGAAGGCATTTTATCTCATTTATTGTTAGACGCATTTCGACAGACTGTTACCATCAGGTGTCTCTCATAAACAATAATATTATAGATATCTTTTAATGGCCGCATCTGACCGGTCATTCACCAATGGTGACACTGAATTTTAAATTCAAATGCTCGATCTACATCCACGCGGTCCGCGGTCCGAGTCTGGCCGCATCTATTAAGAGTAACAGCCAGCGGACAGGTTATTGTATTGTGATTACGTTATCAAAGCTTTTATGAGTACGGACGGTCGTTCCTTCTAACTATCACCGGGGAGCGTCTGTTCGTATCGACTCGTTCTATAACACATATAATATATTCAGAACACGTCGGACTCGTTAAAACCAGCTCCTGACGCGGAGCACCGGCTCCATGATCAACAGATTTGATTTGTTTTCGTCGTTCCGAAACCGTTCATTTAATGTGACAACAATAATTATTATTTTATTCATTTAATATTTATTACACCGTCAATATATTCGTCGGATCTGTTTTAATACAGCAGCAGCTATAGATCGTATAATCGAACCCACACGTGTCTATAATAATGAACACGTACCCTAGGCTGAGCCATGAAAGCTCGGCCCGAGCCCGGGTGCAAGGCTCCGCTGGCCACCACGAACGTTTTGTAGTCCCGGGCTGTCTAACACACCACACAAGCACGTGAACACATACACATCAACTATGGACACCGTCACCGTCACAGCGGCCCGCTAGCTCACTAGTGTCATAATGCACTCGCGACGGACGAGGTTTGGAAGGTGTACGGGACGCGTCGTGGCCGAGCGAGGCGCGGGGAGCGGGAGGCCCGGCGCGCTCGGCAGTCTGGCGGACACTGGCGCGGCTGGCGCGAGCCGGGCCACCGCGGGGCGTGGCGCCCGCCCCACCGCGCCGCCCAATGGAGGCTCGGGATGCCGCCCGCCCCGCCGCCCGCCGCCCGCCCCCGCTACCCGCACTCCGCGACACCGCGCCACTCCTCGACGCGTCGCCGCCGCCAGCTAACGGGCCGCGACTCTACAATACACGGCTCTATATAGTTACCGCGCGTGCTGGGATCAGTTCAAATAGATTTTATTAAAAACTTATCATGATATAGGGAGGATCACGACCGACCAGTCAGTCAGAGTATGGTACAGGTGCAGGAGTACTGTTTAGATACAGACGGTAGGAGGCCGCAAGTCGATACACACACGACACGCGACGATTATAAAAGACTTGGATATGAAAGAAAATCACTCTGAATGAGGAGTACAGGGTCGATAACGATGAACACAACACGTTTGAATAATAGTTTCTTTAATTACACGGCACACTATTTATAAAACCGAACAACCTTGGAGTTGTTATACATTTCTATCAAAATAATTCGATACGGAGTTTTAAATAGACATGATTATAGAAACAAGATAGATTGTTATTTATAATTAGTTTAACAAAACTTTACTTTTAAGTTAATTTTAATACATTTTCTATTCGATTATCTTTTATATATTAAATATTTTTAATATTTTTTTTCTGATATAATTTGAATCAATATTATTTAACAACACTTATTTCTTGTTTATGTATTGAATACACAAAATATTTTTCTATTAAAATCATGATCTTTATTTTGAATCTTTACACATCCAGAAAAATTACTATAAACTAGTTATTAAACTAAATTAATTATGATATTGACATTGCTCATAATTATTATCAACGAAAATTGTTTTAAGTATTGTAGAGCTAGCATTTCATCAAAACTATATGATTAAAAGATTATAGAGTTATATTTCAACTAATAAATCGAGTTTTATTTTATAAAATTTACCTGCTGTATAATAAACAACAAAATAGTTTTTGCGTTAGATGGCATTGATCGGGTTAACACAAAATACATAGAAAACTCATATTTTAAGCAATTTATTGTATGTACCCCAAGCCAATTCGATGAATTGAAATATTTTTATAAAGGATGAAATTCATTTACATATTATCAAAATTTATGACTATTTTTATAATAAAATCACAATTCCTTTATTGTAAGTGTTCAAAAGTTATTTTATATGTTCAATAATAATTATTTGAACCGTATTGTATATATTTTACAGTTGTATAAAGACATAATGCGCACATTGCAAGTCTGTTTCACAAAGAACACATCTCTTACTATCATTACAATACACGGGGACTCTACAATAATTTTCATATTTATACAATTGGTAAATAGTATAAATATGAAAAATATTGTAGAGTTTCATATTTATACAAATTTCCAAAAAAATCGTATTATTTTTTTATATAAAATATTTTAAAAATATATTTCTTTATCTGATACGTTTTTATTTATCAATGCGTTTAAATCTTGTGGAATCTGATAACATGAAAAAAAGACTTAAAGGTTCTCTTGAGAGTTGAGATGTACGAGATTAGAAATTATTGTTTATAAGAATTAAAATAAATATTATTTAATACACGAATAATACAAATATGGCAAAAATATTCATTTATTCATATATATGATTTAACTAATATTTGAACTAAAAATATTTCTATAGTTTAATTATAAATATTATTCAACGTGATAAGTAGATATATGAAGTAGTTTAAAATAATCAATATATGTACAATCAAAATTATGTAGTATCTACAATAAAAGTGTCTCCAATCAATTAATATTTATGTATTTCATGACTAATTTAGGTATTTACATTATTAATATGTTACAATAACTTTTGTTTAAATTATTATAAAGAAATTAAACAATAAAACCATAAAACAAAGAAGTCGTGTTCAAATTTTACCTCATACATTTAGACGGATAAAAAATTTTGAATAAGTTAAATCAATAATTTGTTTTAATGAAGAATTATTATTGTTTAAATTATATAAGCTTGTAAGTCTAGCTAGAAAATATTTATGGAGAAAAGTTATTAGTATACAAGTTAAAAGAAATATGAAATCAATTCTAAATTCAGTCATAATATACCATTATAATATTTTATAAATAACTAAAAAATATTAATATGAAAAATATGATAATATAAATGTTTCTTTGTAAGTAATTTTAATTGTTTCAATTCATATAACAACGCTTTTAATTCAATTTATAAAATTACTTTTTTTGCTATATTCATTTTTATTCGTCTTTTGGGAATAAAAGAATTGTTGACGGCGTTTTATAAAATTAAATATTTTAATTTAATAATTAGATAAATTTATACTATAAATATATAATTTTTATTAAATAAAAATATCTTTTATTTCGAGACATACACTGATGTTTGATAAGTAAGCGAAGCGTCGGAATGATTTAAAAATTTAATGATTTAAAACAGAATATAATTATTTAAATTTTAAAATAATTTTAACATATAAATACTACTCTGACTCATCAAATTCATATTTTTAAATCAAAATAAAATATATTTTATCTCATTAATATACGTAATTTTGCTTAATAAAATTAATAATTATTATTGTTATTCACATTTTCATATTCTAAATAAAGACCTATTGTTATTATAATAATTTATTTCATATTTATAACCACGATAAAAATATCTTTAGTAGTATTAGGTACATGAGAAAGTATGAAGTGAAACTATTAACTTGAGCCAATGAAACTTGTAGGAAATATACATATATAAACATATTATGTACATATGTATATATTATATATTAATTGAGGAAATAATGCATATAAAATACTCTTATATAAAACTTTAAACAAAATACAAAGCACGCTATGTAACATGCAACCTTACCTAATTGCTAATAAAACTGGGTAAATTATAATTATATAGATAAAAAAACACAAATAATACTTCATTTAACACGCAATACATTAGCTTGAGGAAAAATATTACAACTGTTAGTATTAGATACGTAGAATACACAGCATTGGAATATAATAACGAAAATATAGAGAAGTTACGGTGATACTGGCAGCGCCATCTATCAGCGAATAGCGGAACTAAAGTTTAAAACGCGGCATTTTTATGTCTGAATTGAATTTGAATATATAAATGAGATTACTATTAAATTGTTTTGTGATATTTTTACAATAAATGTGTATTATATGTTTGTTTTTAATAGTATTATTGAATTAATTTAATATTTTAATTACTACAACAATTCAAGTGTGATTTTCGTAAATTTTACTTTTTACCTACATTAAGTAATATTCTTGAGATGTTCCTAAATTGTTTTTCAATTGTATTTCTTTAATATGATATATAATTATACTAAGATTCTTTAAAATGTTATTGACGCTAAAGAGCATAATTTTGAAATATTTATCTGCCTGTATTATACTACATGATGCAATCACTTCAATTTTAGTGAACCCTTACTTAATATAAACATCCTGGAAAATAAAATAATATATATTTTTAAAGATTAAATCTTTTTCACGAAGAAAAATAAATATTCGTTACCAAAAACTTAATAATTTATAATTAAGAAAGATATTATAATAACTATACGTTTCTGACTACATCTAGTTTTGCGAGGAAACTATAATAATTGATTAAAAATTATGTTTTATTTACAAAAGTATTCTAAAAGACTAGACTAGATAAAAAATATTTCTTAAATAAAGATGCTTGATTATTATTTAATATATAGCAGAACTTATTTGAAGTAATTCTTTATCAAAAAATACGAAATAAAATATAAAAATATTATGCGAACTATAAAATATTTTCATTAATAAGTGATGGAATACTTACTTTTATGTATATTATTTTAATCAAATTATTACTCAGAGACAAATTTGGATACGCTGTTATCGCCGAAATAGCTCAGTTGGGAGAGCGTTAGACTGAAGATCTAAAGGTCCCTGGTTCGATCCCGGGTTTCGGCAAACTTTTTTCACAAAAAAAAACACACAAATCTTCACTAAACTTAAAATATTAATATTCATATGAGTCCGTATAATATTTTTATATTTAAAAACATCATTCCGTGAGTTATATATCATGTGAACAAATCACAAAAACTTAATAACCTTAACGCATCTTAAACTTTATTAAAAATAGTCTAAGCCTTGTTAATCTCGTTGTATAATTTGCCGGGAATTAGAATCGGAGGAAAAAATATAAAAAAAGGAAAGGAAAGAAAGAAAATAAAAAAAAAAAGAAAAAGATAATTATCCCTCAGACCTTTCCGCGTCAACATTTGTTATTTGAATGATCGTGTGGAGAGGGCTTTATATTATATTATAATTTAAAATTTCATTAATATTTTAATATAATACTTAGATTATGTACAATAATTAGGAAAATAATGTACTGAAACGATAATGTTTTACAATTATCGTAATAACTAAATTAATTTTGATTAAATGACTGTAATTTAAAAATATATGGCGCATACAAAAAATAAATAAGTAATTAATATATATTAGTAATTAATTGTTCAATAATTACTATTCAAAGAAGCCGTCTCCTCTCAATGTATACCACACTCAAGATGCACATGTGGCATTTGGTTGGTCTCTGAACCTTCGAGGAACAAACCTGCGTCGGGATTAATCTATTGTAACTTGTTACAGAAACTAATTGAAGAAAAAATACTCTACAAAACATACGTCATACTCATTATATTTAATAATTATATTTAAATATACTAAAATTCACGAAAATCTTATTAAAATTGTAAAGAAACTGACAATTCAGATAAATTTACCAGTTATATATAAAAGAAAGTTGTGTTAGTTACACTATTTATAACTCAAGAACGACTATAGGGATAATGTTGAAAATTGGTGGAGAGATAGATTAGAACAAGGAGACGGACATAGGATATTTAATTCTCTTCGATCGAAAAAGAATAAAATACTTAATAAATTTCAATATCTGGTTATTTATGGCCTCTAGTTCAGAATAGAGTTCGCCCGGTCAGCTATATATTACTAATTTCGAAATTAACACGGACGAAGTCGCGAGCAAAAACTAGTGTTAATTAATGCAAATAACTTAGTAACAAATGAATGACATATTTAGAACAAGAACATT